TCAGCAAAAAAAATTTTCCTGGTTGTAATTTTTCTAAAATTGAAAATAATTTTAGAACATTAATTATTTAAATTAAAAAAAAACATTTTAGAAAAAAAATTTTTACTTTATGGTTTATTAATCTTTATTTTAAAAAAATTCGTATTTGAAAACTACAATTTGTAAAATTTGAATTTTTCTTATCAAAAATTGAAAATAAAAAATTCGTTTATGTTATGGGTGATTTTTTCTTCTTAAAAGTAAATTTAAAAATTCGCTCTAGTTTAAATAAATAAGAGAATAATACTAAGAGAAATAAGAGAGTAATTGAATTCCTTCGAAGAATTTTTTTATTTATGAAAATAATTAAATTCCTGCAAAGAATTTTACTATTTATAAAATTAATTCGAAGTATTTATTTAAATTTTAGAAAAAAATTGAATTTTTTCGAAATATGTTATAAATTTGTTTAAAAATTGAATTCTTCCGAAGAATTCAATTAAAATTGTTTTGAAAATAATTGAATTCCTGCAAAGAATTTTACTATTTATAAAATTAATTCGAAGGATTTATTAAAATTTTAGAAAATAATTGAATTCTTTCGTGAAATTTTATTAAAATATTTGAAAATATGAAACATAAAAAAATATGAACCTAAATAATAATAGAAGGATAATAAATAATTTTAGAAGGAACTTTAGGAACTTTAGAAAAGGAAATAATTTCATATTCAATTTATTTTCGTTATATTCGACAGAAATCATTAACAAATATATAAAATGTTCCCATAAAATTTTCTGTTGCTTCTTATTATATATAAATATATCTTTTTGAGTGAAACTAACCCATAATAGTTAATTTCTTGAATTTCTTTTCTTGGTTCCAGATAATTTTTTGATAGAGGTTTCACAATTCTTTAGCGTTCAGCAGTTACCGATGGTCATTTATCGCCGATTTTCCAGCCTGTTTATACGTAATGTACATTGAAGAATAGAGTTCCCGCTTTGAAAGCAATTTTAAAGGTCGGGGTGCATAGTTCCATTGACTGCAAATTTTCCGGAGTCGTCGACAACGCTCGAGAAGTGAAATAACATTTCTTAAAGATGACCAACGATGTTGGTGAGATTATATGTTGAGAGTTTCAATTTCAAAATCGGACCATATATGTAGTAAGCGGCAAAAATTGCCATGTCTAATTTTTAGGGAGACACGTAATCCTGGACATCCGGTACCTGTTATCTAGTGTAGTATTTTTTTTTTTTTAGATTATTCTTCTTTTTCTTCTCGTAACCTCGTTCCCACAGTTTCGTTTCTTGCGAATCCACCTGTAATGTCCCGGAATTCCGGGAAGGAAAGCTCCTTTGACAAATTTATCTAAGCTTTGGATATTTTGAGACGCTCGAATGATAATTATCTAGAAAGCGGAATTTTCAATTTTTGTTTCGAAATTCGTCGTTTAATTGATAAAAATTTTTGTTTATTTGAATGAATGGAATTTTATTTTATTGGAAATTTATAAATGAAAAAATATTACCATTAATAAGAAATTTATATTTTTTTATTTGTAAATTTTCGGTAAAATAAAATTCTATTTGATTTCTTCAAAATAAAAAAATTGTTAATTAAAAATTCTGTTAAATAAAAGCTATAGTCTAATCGTAAAATAATTTTCACCGGAGAAAAGAAGAAATAAAAGAAAAAATATAGAAGAAGAGAATAATTATACGGATAATTAAATAGAAGCAATAATCAAAATGAAAAATAATTTTCTAGAAAAGAAAGATTCTATAATACAAAAGAAGAAATAGCTAGGAAAAAAAGACCAAAAGGGAAATAAATAATTAGATGGATTAATGAAAAGTCATTTTCCTCAGATTGAGGTGCGGGACTGTGCGTGATGGGAGGGGAGAATATTGTTGGCAAGGACACATAAATATTTCAAGATAGAATTCATAGTGCAGCAAAAAGAGTTAGAGTATTGTTAGCACATTGTGTGTTTAACAATAGGGGGTGTGAGGCAAGTATCGACAGCAATCGCTATTGTACCTAAATTGCATGTTGCAAGCCAATACAATACCCAACGATTCCTATTCCCTTCGCACTCCCCCACACGTTCAACAGATTAAGCAGCGACAAAGTATAGCTGTAAAATCACGGATGACCGCCATATGTTCACTCCCCTTCTTCTATATATACTCAATCGTTTAAATTACACAGTATTCGCCACTGTCCGAACGTAATAATTAGAGGTTCATCGTGAATTTGTTCGATTAGTAACAATTCCAACCCCCGAAATACACAGCATGTCACCATATATCGATTCCCATTTCTCTGGAAAATAAAGTAGATTACTATTCGACTTTTCACCATAAATATCTGTAGTATAGTTAGCTTTTGTAGCTCTACAAATTATTCCCTTTGAAACTAAATTTTCTGTGTTTCAATTTTTTTGTTTAAAAAAAAAGTCAGTTTTTTACTTTTTTCACGAATTGATTCCTCATATATTAGACGAAGTATTGTAATTCTTTTCCGAATATAATAAAACACAATTTTTACACACTTAATTAAAATTGAATATTTAAAGTAAATATTTTCCTTTTCGATATTTCGAAATTTCTTTACAAATTATTGCAGAAATTCAATGTGTTCAAAAATTTTTTTTAATTCTTGTCAAAATTTCAATTACCTTTGGAAATAATTAAATTCTTCTCCGAAATTGAATTATTTTCAAAAATTTGTTATAAAATTCTTGGTAAAATTTCCATTATTTTCAAAAATTTTCCTCAATTCAATGATTTTTAATATCTACTATTTTAATAAAATTTTCCAAAAGAATTCAATTATTTAAAAAATAATAAAATTCTTCGCAAAATTCCAATTATGTTCAAACATTTTTTTAAATTCTCGTCAAAATGTTAATTATTTTTATAGGAATAACTAAATTCTTCTCCGAAATTCAATTATTTTCAAAAATTTTAATAAAATTCTTGGCAAAATTTCAATTATTTTCAAAAATTTTCCTCCATTCAATGATTTTTAATATCTACTATTTTAATAACATTTTCCAAAAGAATTCAATTCTTTAAAATTTTTTTTAAAAAATTCTACGCAAACCTTTAATTATTTTCATAAAATAATGAAAATTTCACAGGAATTCAATTATTTACAAATTTTTTATAAATTTTTTCGCAGTCATTCAATTATTTTCATAAATATTAAAATTTTTACAGGTATTCAATTATTTTCGTAAATAATAAAATTCTTTTTAGGAATTCAAATATTTTCATAAATAATAAAACTCATTGCAAAATTACAATTATTTTTAATTTTAATGGCATTCTTTGAAAAATGCAATTATTATTCTTAAAATTTTATTAAAATTCGTCAAAAGAATTCAATTATTTAAACACTTATTGATAAAATTCTTTATGAAAATTCAATTTTAAAAAACATGTAATTATTTAATAAATAGTTTTGTTTGTATTTGAATAATTGAATTCTAGTAGAATTTTTTAATAAAAATTTAATTAAAAATGAATCTCAGTTAAAAAATTAGATTTGTAATTGAATATTAAAAGCATTAGAGCGTGAATTTTTAGAAATTATTAAATTTTGAAAAGGTTTCAAATAAAAATAGAAATTTATTGTTTTCTTGTAATTTAATTGAATTTTCAAAAGAAATTTTCAATACAATTCGAATCTTCTTTTCGACGAATTTAGAGAATTTTAGAGAAATTACAAATGATTGGAGAAATTCAATTATTTTCAAAAATAATAAAATTCTTCGCAGAAATTCAATTATGTTTAAAAATTTTTTTAAATTCTCGTCAAAATTTCATTTACCTTTAGAAATAATTAAAATCATCTCCGAAATTCAATTATTTTCAAAAACTTTTAATAAAATTCTTAGCAAAATTTTAATTATTTTCAAAAATTTTCCTGAATTTAATGATTTTTAATATCTACTATTTTAATAATAAAATTTTCCAAAAGATTTCAATTATTTAAAAAAAATTTAATAAAATTCTACGCAAACCTTTAATTATTTTCATAAAATAATAAAAATTACACAGGAATTCAATTATTAAAAAATTTATTAATAAAATTCTTTAAGAGAATTTAATTTTAAGAAATATGCAATTATTCAAAAAATTTGTTTTTGTATTAAAATAATTGAATTTTAGTTGAATTCTTTAATAAAAATTGATTTAAAAATGAATTTCAGTTGAAACTTTAAATTACAATTGAATATTGAAAGCATTATAGCGTGAATTTTTTGAAATAATTGAATTTTGAAAAGGTTTCAAATTAAAATCTTTGAAAATCTGAATTTTTCACATTTGGAACTAACAATTATGAAGAATTAATTTTTTGAGAAAGTTTAATTGCGGATTTTTTATTGAAATTATTTCAAGTTTTTATTTTCTAATATATTTAATTGAAGTTTTTAAAAAAAATCGAATTTCGGTTAAATAAAAATTCAGTTAAAAATTCCTTTAAATAGAGATTCAGTTAAATAAAAATTCTTCAATGAGAAAATCGAGAAAATTCGTCTAATTTAAATTAAATATTAAAAGTAAAAAAGAATTGGTTGAAATTCGGACTCATCATAATTCTTCCACGCGGATATGAGGTTAATTTGCGGGAACCTGTCATGTAGGGAAAAATTAGTCGAGACCGGAAGTTCATGACAATATCGTGATACGATGCACGTGTCTTGATATTCATTTATAAGTATAAATTTTATTTCAAGTGAATACGAAGGTCGAATGAAAAGACCCAAAAAAAATGTGTCTCACCGAAGAGTCGCACACAGCTGTGACACGCGTCAAATTCATTACTAAATTATATTACCATATATTTAGTAGGTTCTTCCCACGTGCAAGTTTCATATTTTTCAGTATTACACAAATGTAATATAATAAAAATGTATTTATAACTTTTGTGCCACATTTACAAATTTTCATATTTTAGATATATAGAGAAGTAAATGTATTTAAGAATATTTTTTTATTTTTCAGTATTTCGTAAAGAAAAGAGGCGAATGGAAAGAGAGAAATAGAGGGAGAGGAGGGGAGTTTTAATGGCACTTGATTAGTGAACAATAGGACCACAAGTAGAGGCAGACTGCACCAGAAAACATATTGTCAAGATCAGGTCGCTTATGAATTTTTTATTTATTTCACTTCAGTCATGTTAATACGCTCTTTTGAATTTTCAATTCTTAATTCTAGATTTCATTTTTTTTTCGTTTTTTCTTTTTTTTCTTTTCAATTTTTTAGAACTAATTTTAAATATAGAAATTTTTCACAAAAATTTATTGGAATTCATTAAATTAAAAATAATTTTCGAAAATAGTTTCAATTTTACGATATATTTTCGAATTTTTCGTTCACTAAATTTTATAATTCATTTCCGAATTCATAATTCTAATATTTGGGAATTTTTATTGAGTAGAATTGTTATTTAACCGAATACTGAAATTCAATGATTGAAAAATATTGATTTTTTTCTTTCAAAATATATTAAGATTGTTGCTTATTCAATTTTTTTTTAATTCTAGTTTTTGAATTCCGTTTTTTAATTCATTTCTTTGAATACATTTATTTCAATTTTTCACTCTCTATTGATGAGTTTCGTCAAAAACTTTTTTTATCGAGAAATTAGCATTATGACCTAAACTTTGTTTATTTAAATTGGGACATTCGATTAAATAAAAATGCTGACTTACTGTTCAAATAAAAAATTATTACAGCTTATCCAGAAATGTTTCAAAATATAAATACTTTGTACTATTTGAATACGAAAAGGAAAATTTTACTTTTTGAATGTAGACAATTGAGAAGAACAATTTAAATTTGGAATTCAATTTTAACTACATAAATGATGTAAAAATAAAAAACATAAAAAGTATGGAAAAAACGCAAGAAACAAAAATACAATAAAATTAAAAGTAGAAAATAATTAAAAATATAAAATTGAAGTACACAAATAAAAAAAGGGAAATAGGAAAAATTTAACGATAGAAAATTTTATATTTTTGCTTCAAAGCAGGAAGAGAATTATTTTATGACAGAAAAGTAGATGATGAAAAAAATAGGAAAATGAAAAAGATAATAGAAATCATTAAATATTTATGGTTTTATTTTCTCAATTGGATTTCAGTGAAATAAAAAATGATAACATTTTTTATTCTGAAAATTTGAATTTCAAAATAAAACTAAAATCATTTTGTATCGCGACTTGATTACTCTTAGTTGATTAATTTCATCATAAGAAATCTCTCGCTGATTTATATTGACAGAAAATATATATATAAGAATAGGTCGTTGACAGCAAATCCTTGAAAATATTATTGAGTTTGTAAAACGCGTGTTAAAATGCTAAAATTATCTTATACTTTGAAAAAGAAGAAATACAAGGTAATTTTATCAAACAAATGTTTTTTTTCAAGTAATTTTTTTCAATTTTATATTTTCTCGAGTTTTTAATTTTCAATTTTAATTTCACTATTTATCGTTATTAAATTATTAATTAAATTAATTACCATTGGGGACAAATATTAAATACTCCATTTTATTTATTCGAAAAAAAATTGTTAATTTCTTTTTATTTTTTTTTCTTAGCTTTGAAAAAATGGAAATGTCATCATCACGTAATTCTTGTTAGTGTAATCAATTTTTTTTTTCTAATAGCGTATAATAAAGCTGAGAAAAATTCCTCTACCAGAGTGAAAAAACAAATTTCTAACAATATTTCCGTTAATCTTTTATTTGCTCATTTTTTTATTGCTTCGGGTTTTTTTTTTATCTTTTTGAAGCAAATATTTTTCCTTGTGCCTTTGTAAATCAACACCAAGGATAACCTTGTAAATGAAAAACCTTCAGCAAAAGAGATGTCTAGATAATAATATCTTTTTTTATGAAAGTTTAATAAGCAGCATCCATGTTAATAAAATACAGAAACATAATTAAAAAAGACAATAAAATACAAGAGAGCAAGGAAACAAACAAAAATTAGAGAAAATAGTTACATAGTAGTATTTTTATTTAATCGAATTTACTAATATTTTTTTAATTTTCATTGTTGACAAAATTAGAAATTTAAAAATCGAAGTTCCAAATATTTTCAAATGAAAAAATTTTTAATTGTTGAGAAAAATTGGAAAAGGATTAAAATTTATTGAAAATAATTTTAAAAAAAATTATTACAAATTATTATTATTACCTATTATTTAAATTACAAAATTTTTTATTTTCAAATATAAATTTTTGAATAATTTCATAATCAAAATTTCAAAAATTCTCTTATTAAGTACATAATTAATTATTCTTCGTAAGAATTCAATTATTTTCATAAATAATAACATTCTTCGGAAGAATTCAATTATTTTTAAAAATAATAAAATTTTTTGCAAAACTTTAATGATTTTTAACAAAATTTTAACAAATCCTACGAAACAATTCAATTTTTTTTTTAAATAATAAAATCTTTGCAAAAGTTTAATTATTATTAATAAAATTTCACGAAATAATTTAATTTTTTTCTTAATTCGTTATAAAATTTTCCAAAAGAATTCAATTATCATCATAAAAAAAAATTCTTTGGAAGAATTCAATTATTTTCATTAATAATAAAATTCTTCTGAAAATTTCAATTATTTTCAAAAATTTAAACCAATTTTTTGACAAAATTCAATTTTTCTCATAAATAATTGAATTCTTCAGAGGATTTAAATTATTTTCAAAAATTTGAAACAAATTCTTGTAAAGAATTCAATTATTTTCATATATAATAAAATTTTTCAAAGGATTTCAATTATGTTATCAAAAATTTTAATAAAATTGTTCCTAAAAATTCAATTATCTTCATAAAAAGTAAAATTCGTTTGAAGATTTCATTAATTTTCTTAAATAATAAAATTCTTAGGAGGATTTCAATTATTTTCAAAAGTTTTAATAAAATTCTTCGAAAGAATTTAATTATCATCATAAAAAATAAAATTCTTTGGAATATTTCAATTATTTTCATTAAGAATAAAATTCTTCGGAGGATTTAAATTATTTTCTAAAATTTGAAACAAGTTCTTGTCAAGAATTCAATGTTTTTCCTAAATAATTGAATTCTTTAGAGAATTTCAATTATTTTCAAAAATTTCAATTGAAATTTTTAAAAAAACTACAATATTTAAAAAAACACAAAGAAATTCTTGAAAAGAAAAAAATTTATTTTTTTTCTATATTTTAATAAAATTCATTAAATTAAATTAAATTAAATTAAATTAAATTAAATTAAATTAAATTAAATTATTTTAGAAAATTAATAAAGATTCCGAGAAGAATTTAATTATTTTCTAGAAATTTTAATAAAATCCAATAATTAAATGTTTAATTTGAATTATTAAGAAACATAATTATTTAAAAAACTCGAAAGAAATTGTTCTTAAAATTCAATTACTTTCAAAATTTTCAATTTTGAAAGTAATTTTAAGTTTAATAAAAAAAAAAATTATTATTATTATTATTATTATTATTTTATTTTTTTTTCCCCATTATTTAAAGAAAAATTCAAAGAAATGTTTCAAAAGAATTTAATTAGGATTTTAAAAAATTTGAATAATACTTTTCACGAGAATTAGATTATTTTCATAAATAATAATATTCTGCGAAGGAATTAAATTATTGTTAAATTTTTTGACAAAATTCTTTGCAATAATTTAATAATGATTTTTAATACATTAATTTTAAAATTGAAAATATTTGAAAAGAAAAATTATTTAAAAAGTTAGGAAACAAAAAACAATAACTAACTTCAAACTGCGAACGGATTACCGGAATACAACGAATATTAATATAGATTTTTGTTTTTAGGGTTTTTTTAATTTTTGATCTCTAACAAAATTTAGTGGGGAAAAAAATTCAAAAGTATAAATTTCTCAGTGGGAAATTCTTTCTTTTAATAAATATTGAATAATCATTTCTTCGGGATTAATTAGACTTGTGTTATTTATAGTTTTTAGTTTGGATAATAATGATTGAATACGTGTGACTTGGGGGTCGATCTGTAGTCCAAAAGGTGTGTTAAGGGTCGAGAAGTATAACAAAGACTGCGGACTCGTGTCATGACAATTAGGAATTTTATTATCCAAGAGGGTGTTTCGTTTTTATTGCCAATAATGTGATACATTATACGAGACAAGGTTTACTTAAAGCACGTACAATTTTAATGTCAATTTATTCTATGTATTCGCCTGTCCACTTGGCAAACTAAATTTCAAAAGTCTTTATTTTCAACGATCTTCTCTTTCTTTTAGAAGAAAAATTTTGTTTTCTTTTTTTAGATAAAAATTTTTTTTTTTTCAGAAGACATTTTTTGTTTTCATTTAGAAGAAATTTTTTGTTTTCATTTTATTGAAAATTTCTATTTTTACTTATAGATTAAATTTTTACCTTAAATGACTTTTTTTTATTTTGATGAAAAATTTTTCTTTCGTTTTCATTTTAGATGAAAATTTTTTTCTTTTCTTTTTTTATTAAAATGTATTCTCTTTTTTTCACTGTGATAACTGAAATTGATAACAACAGAAACTTATTGTACATTTTCTCTCGAAAGATGGTCTTATCTTATTCTCTTTATCATTTCTGAGATAAAATTTTGTCACGCGCGTTACGGAGTCTTGAAAAGTTTTTTTTTTAATAATAATATATTTTTTTTCGTAGCTTTCTCTCCTGAAACACTTGGATATATATAAGGTGTTCAGAAATATTTTTTTAAGGAGACGATCGATTCTTCTTTTTGGCATATTTATCTTTATTTTTTTAAGGATGAATTTTCGTTTGGCTATTTTTATTTGAGACACTCGCATTTGCCAAAATTTTCTTCTTTGCTTTGTTTCAGTAAAATTCCATTTTATCGAATTTCTATTTATTCGAATTTCTAATTTGCTTTAATTCAGCAAAATTCAATTTTGTCGAATTTCTATTTAGTCGAGTTTTAGTTGTAAATTACGAATTCGGTGTTGAAGTTTCCTTTCGAATATTTAATTACAGAAAAAGATAAAGAAGACGAAATAATAATTTTCTTGGAAAAAAATTAAAATTGGAAAAATTGGATCTGAATTTTTAGAAAAACCAAAAATGGATTAGAAAAATATAAAGGAGACGAAGTAATAATTTTTTAGGGGAAGAAAATGAAATTGGATCTGAATTTTTAGAAAAACAAAAAATGGATTTGAAAAATATAAAGAAGACGAAGTAATAATTTTCTAGGGGAAAAAAAATTAAAATCGGAAAAATTGGATTTGAATAAAAAATGGGTTTGAAAAATATAAAGAAGACGAAGTAATAATTTTCTAAGGGAAAAAATTAAAATTGGATCTTAATTTTTAGAAAAATAAAAAGTGGTTCATTTGTAGAATAGTTTTTTTTGTTTTTTGGTTTCTCTTTTTTCGTGAATGGCTCTCGAATAGTCGAGAGTAGCGAATCGTAAACCATTTGCACTTATGGTTTTTTTAAACAAAAGACTGTGGCATTTGGTGTATACAGGGCCAGTGATTTTTGGAAAACCTCTTCATGAGACTTGGGTGTGAGGGGGATAAAATTCATTCTTGGTCGATCTACTGTAAAAATTATATGTATATATATATAGAGAGAGCCCCTGCTGCAGTTATAAGTCTCTTGAAAGGGTGCCTGTGCACGGTTCGCAAACATCGATAAATGTTTGTTACTGCGGAAACGACGATTTAAACTGATTGCCAAAACAATTTTATATCGTTGGAAAAAATGTAGTATATTCAGTCATTCACTACTGATTTACGCCGGTAATAAATTTTAAATCGTATGATTTTCATTATATGTATCTTCAAGAATAATTTATTATTTGGAGATAAATTTTTAAAGAATGATTGGTCTTTTCAGTTGGGAATTTAATTTCGTTTTATTTTTTTTATTTTCATTTCATTTTATTCCTTTTATTTTTTTTTCTTTTCATTTCATTAACTTTTATTTTTATTTAATTTTATGTTATTGATAGAATAATTGTTTTTTATTTCGTTGACGATTTAATAATTTTTTCGTACTTTTCTTCTGTTGCAGGTGAGGAGAAAACGCGTTCTTTCTTTGGAGAAAAAAATTTGAAGAAAATTCAGCGCCAGAAAAAATGCCGAAGTATTTATAACCTTATTAGTTATGTTGTTATTATTAAAATTTATTAATTATTAATCTATATTATTAATCGTTGTATTCAAAATAATTGAATTTATCAGAAGAATTCGATTAAAATTGGATTAAAAATAATTTAATTCGTGCAAAGAATTTTTCTATTTCTAAAAATAGTTAAATTGTTTCGAAGAATTTATTAAAATTTTAGGAAATAATTGAATTTTATGGAAATATTTGAGTTCTTTAGAAGAATTCAATTGAAATTGTTTGAAATATAATTGAATTCTTACTCTTTGCAGGAATTCAATTCTTTACTGTACTACTCTTAAAAATAATTGAATTCTTACAAAAGTATTTTACTTTTTATAAAAATAATTGAATTGTTTCGAAGAATTCATTAAAATTTCAGAAAATAATTGTATTGTTCTCCAGAATTCTATAGAAATATTTAAAAATAATTAAATTCTTTAAGAAAATTAAATTAAAGTTGTTCCGAAAATATTTGATTTTCTGTAAAAAATTTTATTAAAATTAAGAATATTCAAAATAATTGAATTCATTAGAAGAATTTTATTATTTCTTGAAAATAATTGAATTTTTTTTACCAATATATTTAAAAATTGCATTGAAAGTAATTTAAATTTTATATAGATTTTTTTTTAATATTTTGAGAATAATTGAATTATTTAAAGAATTTTAAATTCTTGTTGAAATTGAATTTTAATAAAATTCTTAAAAATAACTACATTTTTCGAGGAATTCGATTAAAATTGGATCAAAAATAATTTAATTTCCTCAAAGAATTTTTCTATTTACAAAAATAATTGAATTGTTTCGAAGGAGTTATTAAAATTTTAGGAAATAATTGAATTCCTTTGACAAATTTTATACGAATTAAGAAACAAAATTAAATTCTTTCGCGAAATTTTTTTGGAAATAATTGAATTTTTGCAAAGATTTTACTATTTAAAAAAAAATAATTGAATTGTTTAGAAGGATTTATTAAAATTTTAGGAAATAATTGAATTTATTCGAAATGTTTTAAACATTTTTTTTAAAATTTAATTCTTCTGAGGAATTTAATTGAAATTGTTTTGAGAATAATTGAATTTTTGCAAAGATTTTGCTATTTAAAAAAAATAATTGAATTGTTTAGAAGGATTTATTAAAATTTTACAAAATGTTTGAATTCTTTTGTGAAATTTTATTAAAATTTTGTTAAAAATAATTGAATTCTTGCGAAGAATTGTATTAAATTTTTTGAAAATATTAACAATAATAATTAATGTTGTGCGTAATAAGTAAATTTTTAAAATTTTGATTTTGAAATTATTTAAAAATTTATATTTGAAAATAAAAAATTTTGTAATTTGCATAACAATAATAAATCGAATATCACATTAATGATTAGTTTACGAAGTTTTACATTAAATCGAATTTCTACATTTAGCGGAAATTCGGTTTAATTATTCGATCAGATGCGGAAATTCGGTTAAATATGATACAAAAATTGCAAATTCGGAAAAATAATTCAATTTAAAGTGAATTATTTCTAAATATACAAAATTGAATTTTTTTTACACAGGGAATGATTTTCATTTGGAGACAAGGAACGATTTTTTTATCCCGATTGTTTGCGAATTGAGATTGTTGTCATTGACTCAAGTGGAAACAAATAGGACATTTAGTGGGTTTCAGGGATGTAACCTCATAATACGAAATGGCAAACGAATCTGCTAAGGGGTTACACAGAGAGAAAGAGAGAGAGAAGGATACAAGAAGCGAGGAAAGCAGAGGAGAGGAGGCTGGCTGACATCTCATTTTGGTTTAGCTGAATAAAGAGCGTGTCATTCGATGAAGCTGACGGGGAAGAAGGACAAAGAATACCGAGAGGTATGTGTGTGTGTTGGAAAAAAAAAGAACGAGAATGATAGAGAAAAAGAGATGTAGATAGAGAGGAGGGAGGGGGAGAGAAAAAAAGGGAGAGAAAGAGGCACGGATCAAGGCTAGTCTTTGCCAAACATCAATATTTGCGACCGCCCTGTTGGTACCTTTGCGAGGTTCAACCTGACTCGACTCGACTCGTCTGCCGATCCAACTACAACCACTCACGCCTCTCTCTCTCTCTCTCACTCGATGTACTCTTTTGTATGACCCAAAAGTGCGACAACTTTAATTATTATCGAGCCAATTTCCATTATCGTTTTTTTACCGCATATATTTTCTCTCTTTCACTCGTTCCGTCTCTCTCTTTTCTTTTTATTTGCTTCCTATTCAATTAACCACTTTTTTTATTCTCGTAGAATTTTTATTTTCCCTTAATACTAATCTAATTGTTTATTTTCAATTTAGTCAAATTTTCATTTAACGGAATTGTTTTATACATTTTTTTCCACTTTAAAATTGCCCGAATTTGGTAAATTTTCGAGATTTTTAATTTATCCAAATTTTGCACTTTTAAATTATCCGAAAATTTTAATTTATACAAATTTTGCAATTTCAAATCAGTCAAAATCTTTTATTTGATTTGAAAGAATACTTTTTTTTGGATTTTTAACTGTCAGAATTAACTTTAATTCAATGTAAATTCTTTAATTCTTTCTTAATAATTCTTAATTTTTTTATTAGAAGCCCTATAGCAGAAACTTTGTGTATAAAAGTCCGATTTAAATTCGAAATTTTGTTAAATGTACACGAATTTGGCAAATTTTCGGTGCTATTTATTTAAGGAAATTTTACATTTATAACATTTTTGAAATTTAAAATTAACCGAAATTTTTAATTTGATTTAAAAGAATAACTTTAAATAGAAAATTTTTGTTTCATCGAATTTACATATATTATTACATTGAATTTTTTTAGTATAAAATTTCTCAAAAGAATACAATTATTTTTAAAAATTTGATAAAATTCTTTAAAAAAAATCAAATTATTTTTAAAAATTTGATAAAATTCTTCGAAAAAATCAAATTATTTTGACAAATTTCAATTAAATTCTTTATGAGAATTGAAATATTTTCAATACAATTTTAATTAAATTCCTCGAAGAAATTCATTTATTTTCGAAAATTTTAATAAAACTCTTAGCAAGATTTCAATTATTTTAAAAAGTTTTAATAAAATTTTTCGCAGAAATTAAATTATTTTAAAGAATTTTAATAAAATTCTTCGTAAAGATTTTATTATTTTCAAAGATTCCAATAAAATTCTTTATAAAAATTTTAATATTTTCAATTAATTAAATTACAGGTAGAAATTAAATTATTTTCGAAAATTTTGGTAAAATTATTCGAAAAAATTCAAATTGTTTTAACAAATTTCGATTAAATTTTTTATGTGAACTGAAATATTTTCAATACGATTTTAATTACCTTCTTCGAAAAAATTCATGATTGTTTTCGAAAATTTTAATACAATTCTTAGCAAGATTTCAATTATTTTAAAGAATTTTAATAAAATTTTTCGCAGAAATTAAATTTTATTTTTAAGAATTTTAATAAAATTCTTCGCAAAAATTTTATTATTTTCAAAAATTTCAATAAAATTCTTTAGGAAAATTGAAATATTTTCAATTAATTAATTCAATTAATTAAATTACTAGAAAAAGTCCAATTATTTACTAAAATTTTAATACAATTTCTAGCAAGATTTCAATTATTTGCATATTTTTATAAAGTTTTTCGCTGAAATTCAATTATTATAAAAAACTAATAAAATTTTTCGCAAAAATTCAATTATTTTTGAAAAAATTTTAATAAAATTCTTCAAAATTGAAATTTTTTTGAAAGAAAACAATTTAATTTTGAAAAAAATTAAATTCTTTTTCTAAATAATCTTCTTCGCTGAAATTCAATTATTTTTAAAAATTTTGGTAAAATTCTTTATAACAATTTATTTATTTTGAAAATAATTTTAATAACATGTTTATCTATAGATTTCAATTATTTTCATAATTAATAACATTTCTCAAAAGAATTCAATTATTTAAAAAATTTTAATCAAGTTTCTTTTACAAAATTTGAGTATTTTCTTATCAATATTTCAATTATATTTTCATAAATAATAAAGCTTTCTTTAGTGATTCAATTATTTTCAAAAATAATAAAATTCTTCGCCAAAACTTCATTATTTTAAAAAATTTTAATAAAATTCTTATTAAGATTTGTATTATTTTCATAATTAATAACATTTCTCGAAATAATTTTATTATTTTAAAAAATTGTGATAAAGTTTCTCTTCAAAATTTGAGTATATTTTCGAAAATTTTAATAATATTTTTTCCCAAGAATTCAATTATTTTTTCAAATAGGTAATAAAATAATTTTTGGTATTTTTTACTCTTCAAAGCATTAAACATTAGAATTTCATAAAAATAAAAATTAAAAAGATTAAAAAGATAAATTATCAGAAAAAAGTTAGGAATCAAGAAGCAAACAAAAGCAACTGAAAGTAATTAACTTGAAACTGCGAACAGATTACCGGAATACAATGATTATTAATATAAAAGATTTTAATTTGAATTTTAGTAAAATATTATGAAGAGAAAATTTCAGTGAAATTTTAAATATGAAAATGGTAATTTTCTAAAGAACGTTTTCTTTTCTAAAAGGTTTTTTACTATTTTATTACTATAATAATATGCAATTAATTTTTGAGTTGAATTGTTCTTTATCTGAAAAAAGAAAGGACAAATTTGAATCAATTAAAATTTCCCCAGTTTCACATCCATTAAATGAGAATTTCAATCTTCTCTGTTGAAAATCTATGAGCACACACAATATACAGTATACATTCAGCCGCCACGAAACATGCCAGCTTGTATGCGCAGGAAATGTTGACTATATGTAGGGACTAGCCTGTGTGGCCATTCGATAATGCAACCTAGCCCAAAGCACAACTTCCGCTTCTGTTACTAACCTGATCTCGATAATGCATATATATATGTGACTTATCACTCTTGTCACACCTGCTGCAATTTTTTTTCTCTTCTTCTTCTTCTTGATGTCTCCTCGTTTACTAGAATATCAAATTTTCATTTTCTATAATTGAAAAAAAAAGTTTTTTTCAATTAAAAAATTTTTAAATCTAGAAATTTAAACAATTTAAAAAGAAATGAGACTTGAAGTCATTTCTAAGAAATTACAAAATTGAAAAAGAAATTCGAAATATAATTCAAGAAAGATAATTAAAAATTGAAAAAGAAATTCGAAATATAATTCAAGAAAGAAAATTAAAAATTGAAAAAATACAAATTTTTTCCCCTTCTCTCTAAAAGTGACGAAAAATAAAATTGAAGATAATAAAATACGTCTTTTATTTATGCAAAATGATAAAGAAAAAAAATGTGTTGAATAAAACGAAAATGACGTAAGGTTTACATGTACATTTCCTGTAGAATCATTCGTGAAGATAATAATGTCGTTAAAAAAAAGAAAAGATAGAAAAAGGCTAGTTTCGAGAAAAAAAAGTGACATGAATGCAAAAGGTGTATATATATAGATATGGAAAGAAAAAAAATTTACGTCGTTTTGTAACTTTAACGACCATTTTTGCAGTGCGACGATAGAACACATATTTTTCGCCTTAACCCGATGATTTCGTAGGACGGACGTTACCCAGAGTTTCTGTAAATATTGAAATTGGCTGCACAAGCCGATGCGTGCTGCATTCTTCGAGGAACTCCAACAACTCGAGGTCTCACGTACCAAGTTCGATCGCCGCCATTTGTACGACCTCGTTCCACCTTCTCTTCTCGGGTGTGTCTCGTTTATAAAATGGCACTGAAATTCCTTCTATCGCAATATTATTCCTCTTAGATTACAATTAAAATATTGTAATCACATACTTTTCCTTCCTCCTTCTTTTCTGATGAAAACGGAGTAGAAGAAAAAAATTTTCTGTCTTAAATTTCAATTTTAGTCAAAAATATACTCTATCTAAGATATTCAATTTTTAGTACAAAAAGCTTTTTTATACACATTTGTGTATTTATCATATTTTTTTTATTCTTATTCTGTATTTATTTAAAATGGACCATTTTTTCTATGTATTTCTAATTTAGTTAATTTACTGATTCGAAATTTGAAAAAAAACAAGATTAATCTACAATTATTTTATTTATTACAGGAAAATTCATCTTCACTTGAAGGATAAAACCGAAAAAAATGCCCGATTTCTGAGAGGATTCATTTTTTTAATATTCGGACTCGAGAACAAATCCAGTGACGAAATTTGGTTCCAACTTCCAACCGTATTATGGTAATTAATATTCCTTATTTTTATTAATTTATCAGGCCACGGATTGTATGATTTTTTGGATTTTTTCCCACTATTTTAAAAAAAAGGCGAATTTTTTCGACTTTTCTTCCAAATATTGCAACAAAATACCACTTTTTTGGTATAAAGTGCAACTTACTTCGATTTTTAAAGTCTGAAGAATAATTTTATGGTGCGAACAATATAGTCACGTCTTTCAAAAATTCTTTTTCAATAATTTCGATATTTGAAATATTTAATTAAAAAATGTTTAAATAATTGAAATTTTCCAAAAATTTTAATAAAAAATCTTCAAATGAAAATTAATAGAATAAAAATTAATTAACATTTGCTTCAAAAAATAATATTAAAATATTGTTGAAATAAAATAATACTTTAGAATTTTGCTTTTAGATAAAAAGAATAAATAAATTAAAATTGTATTGAAAATAATATAATTCTTGGCAAGATTTTTATTAAAATTCTTTAAAATAATTGAAATGTATTTAAAAATTTACTTCAATATTCTTGAAAATAGTGGATTATTTTTTAATAATTTTTACTGAAAATTTTGAAAGTAATTGAATTTTATCAAGAATTCAATTATTTTCAATAATTGTAATAAAATTCTTTACAAAAAGTCAATTTATAAATAATAAAAATCTTCGTAAAAAATTCAATTATTTTTATATAAATATTAAAATTTTTATCAGGTTTTCACTTATTTTCAATACAATTTTTATGTATTTTTTATTAAAAATTTTGAAAATAATGATTTTTTAAAAAGAATTTCATCAAAATTGTTGAAATTTGAAAATAATTGAATTTATATTAAAATTCTTGAAAATAATCAAATTTAATTAATATTTTTAAAAATAATTGCATTCTTTCGAGAAATTTTATTAAAATTGTATTGAAAATAATTTAATTGCTCTAAAGGATTTTATTATTTATGAGACTAATTAAATTCTTACGATAAATTTTTGTTGAATAATGAACAAGAATATTTAATATTATTTACTTAGTAAGGGAATTTTCTAAATTTTGAATCTGTAATGATGTCGAAAATTGATGTTTATTCTAGAAAATATAAAATTTTTTAATTTACAATTTACAAAATAATAATAAATGTAATATCGCGTGTCATTTGCTAGTTTATAATTATAAATCTGGTTCAATTATAAGTTTTTTGAATTTAATTTTCTTTTTTGGAAATTAGAGAAAAATAGGAATTAAAATGAAAATAATTTTCGTACAAGACTTAAAAGTATGCGGTTAAATAAAAATTGCATTGAGCAGACAATTTTTTTTTTCGCAAAAATTTGGGGGAAAAAATAGAGCGGGACAAGTGACGGGAATTTCATTAGTTAAAATTCATCAAATAGTAGCGGGAAAATGTGAATAGCTGGTGTACAATGTATAAGCTGGAATGTATCGTAATCCCTTTGCATTACCATTTAGATTAGTTAGATTTGCAGGTAAACAGAGCGACGCAGAAACCACACAGGACGACTACAAACATGCACACACATTCACATTCACCCATACAACGTACGCCAGGCAGCGGCGCGACATTTTAATTTCATCCATGATAATTACTCTCAAACGGATGGCTTTTTAAGTAGATTAAAATATTCGTTGTGCTGCCGACACTATTTAACAGTGAGGTATATACACTGGGATATAATTAATGTATTTTCGACTATATATGTCTATATATTCACGCCTATATATATATAGGAAAATGCGTCGCGCCTGTTTTGCAATTGCGCGCACTCTCAATTCAATTTTAATGCGCCACCGTGCACGCAATTTTAACTGAATTTTCACTCTAGTACCTTGTAAATCTCATTGCCTCCTCGTAACTCAATCTGTCTCTTTGTAAATGTTCAATTTCGCCCTTTTTTATTTTTACTATAGTACAAAATTTGATAATAATACGAAAAAATAATAATAACAACGAAAAAAAGAATTTTTGAACAAAAACACAAGAGTTTTGTTCTTTTTTAATAGAATTTTTCTGCTTTTTTCATTTTATGCATTCAATTATTCAAGCAACTTTTAATTACCAAGCGTAGCAATTATTATTTCATTGACTTGTCCAAACAGAATATTTCACAAGCGCTTAACTGGAAATTTGGGAAAAAATTCATTTAAAAACACATTAAATGTAAATTGACCTGTTTGTAATTTGTTTTGGGAGAGAAAATCGATTTTTATCTTTTTTTCCCCGCCAAAGAACAAGAGAACCGAAAATTGTATTTTTCTTGCGATAATTGTTAAGAATGATGAAGAAAAATAATTATAAAAATTGAGTTAATTTAAAATCAAATTAAATCGAATATTAAACAAATTCTTGTGAAATGAACATTTAGGCACATATAGAAATTTTTTTTTGCAAATAACATTTTGAGAATTAACTAATTGCTAAATTATCTAGTACATTTTATGTTAAATAAATAAAACCAGTTTGTTCAAATGTTTAAGTAATCAAATGTGATACATTGGCAAATTTCCAAATATTCTATTAATTAATTAACTAAATTGTTATAATATAAATGACAAAGGTTTGAAAAATAACATTTAATAGAAATAAATTAAAATAATTGAAATTAAATTTTAGGGAACTTTCAAAATTTATTTGCAAAGAAAAGAATTACATTTATTATTTAGGGAAATAATTTTTGTGATATAATATTTTTTGCAAGAAAAATTTAGAAATTCTTTTATGATCTTATAATTTTATGTAAGTGATTGCAATTTTCTTAATTTTAAAAGCGTTTTCTAAAATTTTTGATTAAATTCAAAATTATAAAAATTACAAAAATTATAACATTTCCGTTAAAAAATTATAAAAATTATAAAAACTACAAAAATTATAACATTTTTTAACAAAAATGTTATAATTTTTGTAATTTTTACAATTTTGAATTTGAAATAGTTATTTAATTCTTTCACAGAATTTTATAAACATTGTTTAAATATTTTTTCAAGAAAATTATGAAATTAAAATTATATTAAAAAATAGTTGAGTTCTTATAAAAAACCGAGTAAAAAACTAGCAAATGTTCAGCGCGCGGAACGTGATTTTACGAAAGAATTCAATTTTTTTCTTAATTCGTTATAAAATTTTTCAGAAGAATTTAATTTTGGGCTAAAATTTGAATAAATCCTTTGAAACAATTCAATTATTTTTACAAATAGTAGAATTCCTTGCAAACATTAAATTATTTTTAATAAAATTTTAATAACATTTCATGAAAGAATACAATTTTTTTTTAATTTTTATATTTTCGAAAGAATCCAATTATTTTGTAAAATATTAATAAATATTTCAAAACAATTCAATTATTTTTAATACAATTTTAATAAAAGAATTCAATGTTTTTTTTAATTTTTCATGATATTTTTTTGAAAAAATTCAATTATTTACTAAACTTTTAATAAATCCTTCAAAACAGTTCAATTATTTAAAATTTTTTTATATTTTTCGAAAAAATTCAATTATTTTCTAAAATTTTACTAAATCCTTCGAAACATTTCATTTATGTTCATAAGTAGTGAAATTCATTCATGAAAAATTTCTCTCAAGTTTTTAAAATAATCGTGTTTGTTAATAATTGAAATTAGACATTTAATTATAGAATTTTATTTAAAATTTTTGAAATTCTTTTTAAAAACTTTTTAACAAGAATTAAGAAAAAAATTAGATTCTTTACTGAAATTTTCTTGAAAATAATTGAATTTTTCAGAAGAATTTAACTATCTACAGATATAATTGAATTTTTTCGAAGAATTTATTAAAATTTTAGAAAATAATTGAATTCTTTTGAAATTTTTTATAACAAACTAAGAAATAAATTGAATTCTTTTGTGAAATTGTTTGAAATATAATTGAATTTTGGCAAAGAATTTTGCTATTTTTAAAAATAATAGAATTGTTTCGTGAAATTTTTTTGAAAATAATTGAATTTTCGCAAAGAATTTATATCGAATAAAGAAAAAATTGAATTCTTTAGTGAAATTTTTTTGAAAGTATAATTGAATTTTTGCTAAAATTTTACTATTTAAAAGAAATTGAATTGTTTCGAAGGATTTATTCAAATTTTAGAAAATAATTGATTTCTTTTGAAATTTTTTGTAACGAACTAAGAAATAAATTGAATTCTTCCTCGAAATTCTTTTGAATATTAATTGAATTTTTGCAAAAAATGTTTGCTATTTATAATTATATAATTAAATTGTTTCGTGAAATTTTTTTGAAAATAATTGAATTTTTGCAAAAAATTTCACTATTAAAATAAAAAATTGAATTGTTTCAAAGGATTTATTAAAATTTTAGAAAATAATTATATTCATTCGTGAAATGTTATTAAAATTTTGTTTAAAAATAATTGAATTTTTGCAAAAAATTTTACTTTTCATGAAAATAATGGAATTCTCAAGAAGAATTTTATTATTTATGTAAATAATTAAATTCTTGAGAAGAATTTTTAGAAATTTTTTGGAATTATTAATCAAGAATAATTAATTAGTTTTATTTCAAGAAGAATTTTATTACTTATGTAAATAATTAAATTCTTGAGAAGAATTTTTAGAAATTTTTTGGAATTATTAATCAAGAACAATTAATTAGTAAATTATTGTTAATAATTGAATTTTTTTAAAGTTTGAGTGTGAAATTATTCAAAAATTCATATTTGAATATCAAAAGTTTTGTAATTTGCATAATAATAATAAATTGAATATCACGTTTCGCGCGCGTAACATTTGCTGGTTTTTAATACAATGAATAAAATGTAAAATTTTTTCTTTTTCAAAATTATCGTTTATGAAGAAAGCATTTAATTGAAAATTGAAGAAGAAGAAAAAAAATAATGAACGCACGAAAGGGATTGAATATATTTTTTCGGGTGTATATAGTTTATATAACCGCTGCTAATTTTGACAGTGTCCCCAGAGAGCTTTTTGATAGAATAAAATATATATGTGGAAAGAGAGAAAGTGTTTCACGACATACGGGATGCAGTTAGTGTAAACAATGGACCACCTCCTTCCTTTAAAAGAAACGCCTAGCATGTTTGATGGCTACATATTCATATACATTCAAAATTGAGGGTTTAGTTTGTGTTGGTCCCATCTTTTGGAAATGTATATGTGAACAACACTCGTGCAATCTTTCATGTGGGTGAGGTGCTTATTGGGACCATATATAGGGAGGCTGAGCGTAGAAACAACCCTCTAGTCAAACATCGCAACATCAATCAGCACCAGTCACTCAACCTTGGGGCCATTGGCACACCGACATACCGATATTGCCTATTTAGATTCCCACTAAAATTTGTCGACAATTTTTATCATTATGGACAGAATATTCTTTTTTTTCATTCGAATCTGTATTTTCTTATCGATAATATAACTATTTGCTTTTTTTTATAATTTTCTCAAAAATTTCGAAAATAATTCTAAAATTTTATTATTTTTGGAAATATGTAATTAAAAATATTAAAAATATTGAATTTTAAAAAATTAGAAGCTAATTTTCATATTTTATAAAAAGAAATTTGTAGAGACCCTGGATTAAGATAAAAAATAGAATTAAAAAAAAAATTGAGCAGGATTTTAATTTGCGATGAGAATTTGAATTCTCATCTTTTCTTATCAGCTAGTTTGTAAAATTATTTATTGCGAGCGCTATTTCGTGCCAAGTTAGCAATGAGCTCCTTGGTGTGGTGCGCGCGGCACCATTAATAGCGAATTTCATCACTGCCGCTGTTGATAACGATATTTGCGCAAAGCCCTTAGAATTTAGACCCTGTTTTACAACCCGGTCCCTCATAAATACTCTCGCTAAAGCTTGTGCAGTATAAACGCATTTTGCTGCGCTCTCCAAGAATTTCGTTTCATCTTCTTTATCCACAAATTTTCAAAAATAAATTACATTCTTTATGTAAAAAAGAAAAAATTTAATCTGAAATTACATTAAAAATTTTCAATTAAAATTATTACAGAAAAAAAAATTTATTATTAATTTATTTATTTATTCAAAAAAAAATTCTTTTGGAAGATTTCAATTACTTTCATCGTAAATAATAAAATTCTTTGCAATTCAATGATTTTCAGTGTACAATTATTTTAAAATTGAAAATATTTATAACCAAATAGTTAAAAACATTAAAAATACATTTAAAATAATATTACGATAATTTAATAATCCATTGCGAATGATTGAAGAATTTTGAAAAAAAAACTTATTATTATTTATTTTTGCAGGTCCTCGAAGAATCGTTGGCACCCCTTTCATTGGATATTGAAAATTCTTCCCCTTTAATGGGGGATTTCCTTTTGCTCGCATGAGAAAACAAAAGTCGCATCTTTGGGTATCCCGAAAGGAAAACAATGTTAAGTGGCAGGTCGAAATTCAACGAACAAGTATGGATGTGCTGTTTTGCATTTTGGACGGCATTAGCGACTGGTATTATTGTAAGTTGACATTCATAATTTTTCAACCCTCACGTTGAAATATGCGTGTTTTGCTTATAAGTCCGCACCCCTAATATTCACAAGAAACGTGTCGATTTAATTTTAAATCCGCCCCTGAATCATTCACCGCATTTTGTGTCCCCCTTTTCTCTTCGACAAGTGCTTTGGAAATTAATAATTTCCCCTTCCCCCCCTTGTTTCCATTCTGTTAATGAGAAATTGCTATTAAATATTCCCTGATAATTAGTGGGAAATTTGAGTATTTCAAAAATCAGAGCTTAAATTCTCTTATTCGGATATTTTTTCAAGAAATTATTTGAATCTATTTTAAATTTTAATTCATTTATTTATTCAAATTTTTTTATTTCATTTTCAAGGTTTATTTAATTTTATTTTATTTTTAATTTAGTTTCAAATGGAAATTTTTGAAAAATTAAATTCTAAAAAATTTTAATTGAAAACGCTATAACAATAACGCTATAACAATGCTATAACATTTTCTATTTAAATTCTTTTGAAATACGTACGTTGAATTTTTGCATAAATATTTGATTAATTTTCGATTCATGGAAATTTCTTAAAATTGAATTTTTTTTTTTAAATTAAATTCTAAACAACTTTAATTGAAAATGATAGAAAATTAAAAATTTCTATTTGAATTCTTTTAAAATTCGTTGAATTTTTTGTATAAATATTTGATTAATTTTCGATTCATTGATATTTCGTAAAATTGAATTTTAAACAAGTGGATTTCAGAATTATTTCATATAGGTGAATTTTCTTTTTCTCCGTCGATTAATTGAATTTTCAAAAAAAAATCTTAAAATGATTGAAAATAATTGAATTAGAGAAGAATTTTTGTTAAAAGTTCTAGAAAATAACTGAATTGAATTCAAGAATTAATAATTTCTGAGTATAGCAATTCTTTAATTTAACTTCTTTAATTTCAAAAAGTTCCAAATTTAACATTTAGGAAAAAAGAAAATTAAAATTTTTGTGTCAATCTTGTAAATAGTAATATTTTACTTGTCCGAAAGAAATGTCCAATTTTCAATAAGAGTAAGTAAATATTTCTATTTTCTGTGCAAAAAAACGTATATTTTTTTCCAATTTTGTTAAAAATCTCGAAAGAGAGGAAGGAGGAAAGTGAATGCTGTTCAATTTTGATAAGTGATCAATCACATATTGGATATAGCTTGAAAGAAGTATTGAAAGTTGGATGTTGTTTCAGTGACTCATTATTTGAAAAAGGATAACAAGGTCCTTGGAACGTGCGAGCACGTCCCCAAAAAGGACTCTATATTTATATTTCCACTCTTCGATTCAACGTCATCGTCGTAAATATATCTCGAAACCATGAGAAATATAGAAATCCAAGTTTTATGAATTTTTCAAATTTCCTCAAAGTTTATAATTTTTTTTTGTGTTAAAAACTTTAAATTCTTCTTAAATTTCTTCCTAACTTTTGAATCACATAATTATATGAATGTTGAAACTATAAGTAAATTTTTTTCATTTCTATATACAAGGAATTAAAATGTGAAATATAATTAAATTCTAGAGTAAATTTTGTAATGTTATTAATTATAATCAACTTAGTAAAGATTTTAATTCGAAACAGTTGCAATTTTTGGAAATAAATGATTTTCAGAAGGTTTTAAAGTATAAAGGATTTGAAAATTTCAATTGCTGTATACACAGTTTTTCTAAGAATATCAAATTAAGATAAAAAACTGTGTAAAAAAACAATTAAATATTTTGTTTAAATTTAAAATGTTATTTAAGTTTTAAATATCTTTTTTTCAAATTCTGAAAAAATTAAAATTTTATTCACAATTCCATGGCTCGAACTATTAGGTCCGTAAATCCCGTAAAAGTCAGTTTTTTTTAAAAAAGGTCAAAAATTTTTTTAAATTCTAGTCAAAATTCCAATTATCTTTAGAAATAATTAAATACTTTTCCGAAATTCAATTATTTTCAAAAATTTTAATAAAATTCTTGGCAAAATTTCAATTATTTTCATAAAATAATAAAAATTTCACAGGAATTCAATTATTTACAAATTTTTTTTTATAAATTTCTTCGCAATCATTCAACTATTTCCAAACATAATAAAATTTGTACAGGGATTCAATTAATTTCGTAAATAATAAAATTCTTGTTTCGAAGAATTTATTAAAATTTTAGGAAATAATTGAATTGTTTTTAAAAATTTTATATAGAAATATTTGAAAATAATTAAATTCTTTCGAAAAATTCAATTACAGTTTTTTCGAAAATAATTGAATTTCTGTAAAGAATTTTATTATAAAATTGAGTAATATTCAAAATAATTGAATTCATCAGAAGAATTTTATTAGTTTTTGAAAATAATTGAATTCTTTCAATTTTTTTGATGAATATTTTTAAAAATTGCATTGGAAGTAATTTACTTTTTATATAGAATTTTTTTTAATATTTTATGAATAATTGGATTATTTTTAGAGAATTTAAAATTCTTGTTAAACTTGAATTTTATGGAAATTTTTGAAAATTTCAATTAAATTCTTTCGTGTAATTTTAAATACATTGGATTAATTAAAAATAATTTAATTCATGCAAAGAATTTTAGTATTTATAAAATTGGTTGAATTGTTTTGAAGAATTTATTAAAATTTTATTTTATTCCCGTGAAGAATTTTATTACAATTTTTGAAATTAATGAACAAGAATAATTAATTAATAAATTAGTTAATAATTGAATTTTTTTAAAGTTTGAATCTGAAATTATTCAAAAATTCATTCATTCATTTAAAGAAGAAAATATTTCCATTGTCTTTCTTAAAGAATTGTTATAATCAAATAAGTAAAAATTTTTGCATTGAAATTTTCTGAAATTTTTTTGAAAATAATTGAATTTTTGAAAGATTTTATAAAAATTTAAAAATTGGAAACAAATTTTTGTTGCAACTCAATTATATTAATTTTGCCAAATGGAAAAAACTTCTATTTTGAAAAAATTTATTAATTATTATATTCGAAAATAATTTTTAAAAGTAAAAAAATAAAATTCATTAAAATATAAAATTTATTTCAAATGAAGTTTGACAAAATTTTCAATTGTTTTAATTTTTTTAAATTATTTTCGGAAATACAATTACTTTAAAAAAATGTTAAGTACTTCCTCAAAAAAAGTCAAGAAATAATTTTTCGGGATCTTTAAATGAAATTACTTAAAACATCAAAATTAAAAACTTCTTATTTATTTTTTGACAGGAATTAAAATTTCATATAATTTCAATGAAAAACCTTTTGAAATTGAATTATTTCTAAAAATTGAAATTGCAATTCTTCCAAAAATTCAATTATATTTTTTAGAATTTAAAATTATTTTTTACCTATGAAAATAATAATTGAATTGCTGGGAAATTTTTATTGTTTATGAAAATAATTAAATGTTTGCGTATAGATTATTACTAAATTTTTTTTTAAATAATTAAATTCTTTTTAGGAAATTTTATTATAAAATAGTAGATATTTGAAAATCATTAAAATTAGAAAAATGCATTTTATTTTTGAAAATAATTGAAATTAGGATAAGAATTTTTTTTTTGACATTCATGAAAATAATTGAACTTTGGAGAAGAATTTTGTTATTTATAAAAATAATTGGGATTTTGACGAGAATTTTTTTTTTTTAAATTTTGAACATAGTTGAATTTTATAAGAGTTTTACTTTTTTTTTTAAATAATTGAATTTCTGCATTTGTAATTTCTCAAAAATTGAATTTTTTTAGTGTTTTCAAGAATAATTAAAATTTTTAAATTCTATTATTTTTAAAATTGCTAATTTTATTTAGAGAAGGCAGTAATATAATTATAATAATTGCTTTTCATATTTTTGATTTGAAATTGTGATTAGTTGAGTGAATTTTGTGACATCGGGAAAAAAAGATGAAGTCTGAAGTTTCATTTTATCATGGTCTCGATGTTTCTTTAGAGGAGGGATTTTATCAAGAATTTCCTCTTTGGTTTTCGCTCTTGCTCTCGCTCTCTGGTTTCTTGCCTCGTCCTCCATCCCTTTTCGTATATTTCGATCAAAGCGCCTTCGGCTCTCTTGCAATAGACGTTACAGGCCGGATTATACACGTACACAGAGTTTGGTTCCTGTGTGCCGCTACAACAATGGTTGTAGAGACACATGTAGGCTCTAAGTAGGTTGTATGTGTTGGGATTGCAAACATGTTTGCAACGTTGTCAGGCGGGCAGGAAATTACGTCCGCCTTTAGCCGCTCTCTATATTACACCTAACTCTCCCGACCCTCTGGCTCCGGTGTACCGTCGAGCTGCCGCCAACGCCGTCACCACACCACCTCATCCCCGTCCCGTCCGTGTAACGTCCACAGAGAACTCTCCAGCGTTCGCCACTCTGTACTTGTGTGTACTTAGGGTACAGGCAGAGGTTGTTTCATGCAAAGGTATGTACCTGATGCAGATACCTTCACGTATATAGATATATACACAACCAACCTGCATGCCCTGCCTGCTGGTTATATCAGACCTCTAACAATCTATCTCGTTCCATATAGAATACCACATGAAAGTCCCGGAACTACGAACGAAGCTTATGTTTCAAAATTAGTTTCAAAAATTACACATTCGAACTGGAGCCGCCGCCGTCGCCGCGAAAAGTAAAATTTCCTGCTTTTCATCAACTTTTCAAAACTCAACAAACTCCACAATTTTTTAAATCAAAATTTTCCAATTTTCAATTCAACACTATTTTTTTCAATGATTTCACACTCGTTAAAAACAGTAAAAAGTAGCTTTAAGCCTGAAAACAAATAGCAGGGTTGAGACAGGTCAGGGAATTCAGGGAAAAGTCAGGGAAAGTAGAATTGGTCAGGGAAATCAGGGAAAAATCAGGGATTTTTATTACAGTACTGGAAAAAATTAAATTTGCAGGATTCATAATTAGTTTTATTTTATTTTTTAATATATATTTAATTAATTATTAAAAA